TAAATAGGGAAAAAAAAAAAAAAAAAAAAAAAAAAAAAAGGTGGCACATTTTACACAACATTATACAAACCAGATCTACAATCATCTACATTCAAATCCAAAATCAAAAAAATGAAATGTAACAAAAAATGAGGTTAAGGTAAAACCATATTCTACACATCATACACTTCTGGTTCACTAACCATAGATTCTTCTCTCTTGTGGTCAGAAACAGAAATCTTGGTCTCTAGCTGATCATGATCAATGAAAACTTCATCTGTGGCTGACAAGGAATTTCTGTGATGATTCCCATGGTGCCTTGATTTGAGGATTCTTGTTAGCACTTGCACTATGTCCCTCATGGAAGGACGTTTCCTTGGGGCCCGGTTGATGCATTTGTAGGCAAGTGATGCCACTTCATTCAGTTCTTTGACATCAAAGTTTCCTTGAAGGTGAGAATCCACAATTTCTTCCCACCCAACTTTTCCCTCGATGTTCATTGATGCCTTATCATCCATCAAAAGCATTCATTAGCCTAGGAAATGAAATGTGCATGCATGGAACCAAGGTATGACAGTGACATGTTTTATTTCTTGAGAATGACAATGATCATTCATTCAATGAAGGTATGACAGTTTCATTGGTTAGAGTCATCAAGTAGATAAATATAGATTGGTAGGTACAAGGGCTTTTATTAATAAAATTAGAATTTCACAATGATAATTTATATTGCTATTTAATATTTAAACTTTTTTTTTTTTTACGTATATTAATGAAATGAAACTTTAATTTTGATTATTACGAATAATATAAAAAAATTTAAAGAATTATATCTAAATTTGTGTCTAACAAAAGTCAAAAATATTTATTATAATAAAAATATAATTTATTTATTATTGATTTAGGATATGTTTGGATAAATTTCTTTAGAAATGCTTTAGAAGAAAAAATATAAAGAAAAAATGAAATAAACTTATTCGTTAACTAATTTATAAAAACATTCTCTTATAATTTCTCAAAAAATTTGTTTTAACTTATAAATAAGACAATTTTAACTTATGAAAATTCTTATTTCATTTCAATTTTCTATTTTTTCTCCTAAAAGTACTCCTACCCTTAAATACATAGAGTTTGTTTATATACAAGTTTAGGATTTAGGATTTTTTCTAAAAAACAAAAAAGTTCTTAAAAATAAAAATAAATACAAGTTTCAAAAAAAATTTGAGAATTTTTCTAAAAAAAAAATAAAAATAAAAAACTTTTTCTCATAGAAAAATTCTCATAAATACTTCCAAAAATAAGCTCTTAATCAGTTGTATTAAATGCTCTTTAACCGATTAAGGCACTCAATGTCACCCTAAATGTAACAACCACTTTCATTATCTGATTTTGTATGTTATGCACTATTCACTACATATCTCCCAAATATATACCAAAAAAAATGTAACAACCACACAACCAGTTTCATTATCCTCAATATGGTTTGTAGGGAGAGAAAGAGATCTTACAAGCTCTACATATTCCATAAGACCCTGCTGAGGGTTTCTGCCAGCTATAATTTCAAAGAGCAACACCCCAAAACTGTATACATCACTTTTCTTAGTGAATGTTCCTGAAGATATATACTCGGGATCAAGATAGCCAAAGGTACCCCGAATAGCTGCATGTTTATCCACCTTCTCTTCTCTTGAAAGTCCAAAATCAGCAACCTGTTTCATTCAACATCAACAACCACAAATTAAGAAGCATCTTAATAGTCCTAACAACAATAGATGACTATGACAACATCAATGTATAATTAGCCATTGGAAATGCTAACAATTGTCCTTAGTGTATTGGTTAAAAAATTTAAAATATAAAGTTTTTATTTAAAAGTGTACCTGCACATTATTAATAAAGATTTTCTACTTATTAATTTCTTAATGAATACCCTAAAGGCACTGATTAGCAAGATACTTATATTTAATTATTTATTGTAAGCTATTTTGTGTTATTAAGATAATGGATTAGTAACAAGGACATACTCTGGCTCGCATGGATTGGTCCAACAGAATATTGGAAGATTTGATGTCTCGATGGATTACAGGAGGAACGGCCTGAAGTGACAGTGCATGCAATTATAAGAATATACAAGTTATAATTAGATTGGTGCAGATCACATGGAAGCATACCCCATCATGAAGATACTCCAAGCCTCTTGCTACATCTAGAGCTATGTGAACCCTCAAATCCCAGCACAGTGCTTCATTCACTTCACCTGAATGTGGAGACAAGAAAAACACATTATTCAATATATTATTGCACATCCAATTCCGCAAATGCATTCGAAAGGAATGAAGAAAAAAAGAAAAAAAAAAGAAAAAGAAAAGTAAATAGTCATCTTGATTCTTAAAAGTGGTGATTGGTGTCATACTAGTCCCTAAAATTAAGAAAATGACAAATAAGTCTCCAAATTTTACAAACTATTGTTATTTTGGTCTCTGGATATGCATACACACACACATATATATATATATATATATATATATATCAATTTCTTAGTTTTAAAGATTAATATGACAGTCCCTTCTAAATTTAAAGACTAAAATAACCATTTACTCTAAAAAAAAATGCATTAATTGAAAGACAGACAATAACATACTACTATTTCACAACAGAATGTAGAGGAAAATAATGTGAAGACGATAACATGTGATCAGAAGTTTAATCTAAGGACCATTTGTATAGAAGAACATCTGTCAGGAGAGGTTATTGTCCACCCCTTAAATGAGTATCTGTAACGAGGAATTAATCTTTAGGCCGGGACATAAGAAATTTCTTTACAGATACATATTTGATATTTCCATGTGCTCATTCAGGAACAAAAGTTTGTAAAGTAGAACAGTCTAAGCATGTCATGCAAAAGGATAGATAGATGACTTACTATACAAATGGGATGCCAAGCTACCCCTACTCATGTATACATATACAAGCATATGTTGCCCCTTTTCTGCACAGTATCCAACCAAATTCACCAGATTTCTATGGTGTAACCTTCCCAACAACATAACCTGAGAAAAAGTAGAACAGAAAAAATTGCAATTGAAAATTATTCTTGAGTAAAAAGAAAAAAAGCAGAGAAAATGAATGTATGTGATAATGACTGTTAAACTGATACATCACCAATTGTTCCAAGTTTCATTAACTTCAGCTGAAAGTAAACGCATGCCTAGTTAGGCAATAGCCATGTTTTTAATATTCTAATTTTTATAAATGATATTTATACACCAATACTAATTCACATTACTCCTACATTTTCTTTAGCAGTCTGGCCTCATAAATTTTCTGAAGTTACCAAATCTAACACAGTTGATCCCTGAAATTTATGTGATAAAACTATATGGTAAGTGACATTGGTAACCGACCTCTGTGTGAAATTCTTTCTCCCCTTGCTTAGAATTAGTTGCAAGAACTTTAACTGCAACTGTCTCACCAGTAAGCATCTGAGCTTTATAAACTGGACCAAATGCACCTTGTCCTATGACTGTGGTAAAATTATGTGTTGCCTTCTGCAAATCCCTGAAGCATAAATAAAGCAATTAGAAAGAATGAAAAACAGTTAGTTCATTGAATTAAAAAATTTTGAATCTCACTTGTTAAAATTTAAAGATTTGCAAACAGTATATTTATGCTCTGGCTATATCTGGAAAGATATATATGATTAGTTAAAACTTAAAACTTGAATTTGCATATGCATTTATCTGACAGATACGTATCAGGCATGAACTATAATGGCCCATTCCTACAAGGCTACAACAAATCAGACATCCATTTTAACATGTATAATGCATAATGGTAATAGAACTAAGGTTCTAAAGTCATCTTTTCAGTTTGTCTCGATGTCTCATTCAAATGTTTCAACCTAATAACTTCAGACTACTTCCTTTCAAAGTATACAGATCATGATTCATGATCCATAAAGCATGCAATGCAAGGTTAATGAACCATTTCACATTCGACACTAAGAAAATAAACAAAAAAAAAATACTATTCTTGGTCTAAACTCTCAAGTCTCAACTAACAATATCAAAATAGGCTCATCCCTAAAGGAAAATGAAGTCTGTTAACAATGCAAATAAAGAAGAAAAGTTCAAAGAGAAGAGAAAGCGAGCATTGTTCTATTGATTGCAAAATCTGAGAATACAATAGAGAATGGGGAATATGAAACGGCAACAGAAAAAGGGTCTAAACTACCCTTAAGAAGAGTACATGGTAAGAAATGATATATATATTATTGGCTTAAATATATTTTTAATTTCTCAAATTTAAAATTGATTTTTTTAATCTTTGGAATTTCAAAATATCATATTTTAATCTCTTAAGAATACTGATAGTATAACTGATTGTTGATATAGATATGTAGTATTAGTAGGATTTAGTATGATGCTTTCACAAGTAGGTAAATTTACGTGACAGATACAGTAATACTGAGTCTGCTGCTAGAAGTAGATTTTTTTGGTGCCTAGTGTTAGAGTTACCGCCTTGGGTAACAGTTTTGTGCTTGACCGGCACTAGGAGATAGTAGTTTTGGATAACTGTATAAATTCTAATACTTAATTATTCTTATATATATATATATTGTTCATGTTTTGTATTTATGAGTTATCCAATTTTATTATTTATCTTAGTTTACAATTTTTTACTTAGAAAAATAAAACTTACATGCTACCTAAATCATAAAAGGTTAACATGCAAACACCAATAGTCAAGGAAATTACCAACGTTTCAATCTCTCATCAAGAATACCAAAACTCCAATTCTCAACATACAACCTCCTTGGATTTAATCGCTACAACTATAGATTTCAGAAGCTCCATCAACCATAAACTCTCAATACACTTGACGAATCAATGTCTCACCTACATCCAAGATTCTAATAACTTCTAGTTGATTAGCACAATATCTCGTCTACTACCACTCGCACATATGCTTGCAACACAAGCGATATCACTCATCCACTACTTCTTACGTAAGCAAGAAGTATAAAACAATTAAGCATTCATAAGAGTGAAGAAGAGCAGTAATAACGATATTAGCTAACACTATCTATCATTCCTCTAATTACAATATAATCTAACAGTATCAAACTCAACAATATCAACACAAGGAGAACATCATCATCATCATTATCAAAGCAAAACATCATCAAAGTACACAAAAAACAAAACACTGTCAGAGTACACAACCTAATCATGATAAGTACATAACTCACAGACGATTGGATCAACCTGCTCTGATACCACTAAATATGACACCCTTACTACCCCAACACATATATTGTAATAATGTAAATAAACTAAGGAAATAAATTTTTCAACATCGGTAAAAGGGTTCACATAAAAACCTTTAGAAACATTCTTCAATATCCAAAATATTTTGAAAATGAAACTTGGAAAATAAAACATAAGAGGTTACAAAATGTTTTCAAAATAATAAGTACAACTCCATATACAAATAAAATCCATGTCATAGAAATCCTCTGCCCCGATGTCATAATATCAGAGCATACCCATAATTCAACTGTTGGCATTCTAGATGCCACTCATAGCCGGATATTCCTCACCTAAAACATCCACAAATTGTACGATGAGAAAAGAAAACATCTATATGTAAAGCACATAAGGAAAAACACAACATAATCTCATTATAACTCATTACTTAATGAAATATTCACAAGCATTTATATATATCATAACTCTATCAATCATGCATCATCTTCACGTCATAATTCCCAATCACACCAATCCATCACAAATCTTGCAATTAACACTATCATTTTCACATTCATAATCCACACAAATCTTACAATTAACACTACGCCAAGGTCACGCCGTCCTTGCAGCATCACTTACCCAAGGGTCGTTCCATCCTTGGTCATTAGTGTGAGGAACCACAATCACATTCATAATCCACACAAATCTTACAGTTAACCCTATGCCAAGGCCACGCCACAACTGACATAAGTGATACGTGTTAATTGCCTTACTCATCCCACACTATGCCAAGGTCACGCCGTCCTTGTAGCATCACTTACCCAAGGGTCGTGCCATCCCTGGTCATTAGTGTGAGGAACCACAATAACATTCACATTCAATACATCTCATCTCATAATTCAATTTCATATAACATCCACCCAACAGATAAGTCCAATAAAATAGTGGTTCACATACCCCTCAAGCAATTCACCATGAATTCATTTCTATATCATCAATTTTTACTATATAATATAACAATAACATTTATAAATTTATATATATATAATTAATTTGTAAAAATGATGATCTAGGAGAGAGAACGAAATTGTAGAAAAGTGCCTGTGAGTTAGGTTTTGGGAAAAATTGGAGGTTTTACTATTTTAGTTAAGATTCTATTAAATTGCTGATTAAATTGAGTGTTATATTAATTTATAAATGTTATTGTTATATTATATAGTAAAAATTGATGATATAGAAATGAATTCATGAATTTTAAAATTCGCAAAAATATATTATCCACGAAGGTATTGCCTACAAATAAAATTTCGCAAAAAAATTTATAGAAACAACGTTTTCTGCAAATTTTTATGAAAAATTCGCAGGAAAAATCGCATGTAATAAGAGAAATTTTAGTAGTATTAGAACTAACCAGGTTGAATATAAAGAACAACAGTACAATAGCACGTCCAATGTCAAGGAGTAGAAAGAAAGACGAATAATAAAAAGAAAAATAATCAAAGGGATCGATTTCAATTAAATTGTGACTAAATTTTATTTTGAATTGACCCAATTTAAATAATGAAAAAGGAAATAAGGATAATTAAATTTTTTATTTTGTCAAATTAAAAAGAAAAAGATATAAAAAAATACTTTTCTTCTATTGTGCAAAGATTGTGGACAAGAAAAAGATAGATTGGATGAAAAAAAACTAAATGTTACAAACAAAGCACATTATATAAACGCGGAAAAAATTGGGTGTTGAGTGTTGACAATTATCGTACATTTTTTTTTGTTCATCATGCATTTTGTTTTGTTCATGTATTGTTATTATCATGCATTTTCTTAATTTGTTTTGTGTCAGAATCTTAATCAAAAATTGGAATTTCAAATTTTTTTCTAAGAATTCTTATTTATTTGATGGATGATCTATGAATTACACTTTAATATTTTATTTCACGATCTCTTGTGAAGACTCATCACACACTGGACAATTAAAGAGTCTTCAAACTCAATCTATGAAGACTCATCACACACTACACAATTGAAGAGTTTTCAGACTCAATCTAAGAAGTAAGGGTTAATATTTACAAAATTAACTCTCACAATATGGGGTTACTTCACGTGTAGTCTCAATCTGATTGAGTTCCTCCTCTTCAAGATCAACCTAGAAAGTAAGAGTTAGTATTTACAAAGTTAACTCAGACAAAGAGGAAATATAAGTTTAAGCTCATAATGTAGACTTGTTAAGGCAAGAATAAAGCTTGTCGTTAATACTATATATTACCGACGTTTATATAAAATGCTGGTAAAGATCTACTAAATTGTTGGGAAAACTTATTTTTTTTAGTGACAATTCTAGTAGTCATTTTAAAAGCTATTAAAATTTATTTTTTCAATTGTCTTCTTTTCATCCATTTAGTGACTTTTATCTTTTGCTAGTAAAACTTTAAATAATTAATTCCTATAATTTCCTTTTCTAAATTCATAACTTATATACTTTTTTATTTTTAGTCGATATGTGAGATTTATAAGATGAGGATTGTCTTCTATTTATATATTTTTTAATTATCTTGTCTCTTAAGAGATGTGAGATTTATAAGGTAAAAGTTGCTCTCTAATTATTTTATAGCACTATTAAACTTGGTAATAGTGGGTGATTTGATACCAATTTTGAATAGTTAATTAAGAGTCTAACTCAATCCTATAAAATCAACTTATAAGGTGATAGTTATTGCTTACTTATATACTATTTAATTATCTTATCTCTAATCGATGTGGGACTTAAATTTTTTTCAATAAATAATTGTCGCCAATAGTAAGCTTTAATTTAATATAAATATATTTTTAGTAGTTATTATATATTAGTCATTAATATTTTTATTATATAATTAAATAGTAATAATTAAATTATTTTCATTAAATAATTATCGTTAATAACAGATTTTGTTGTAGTGAAAAGAGGAAATAGTATAGTAAATGTGTCATAATCAGAGCAAGTTATCACAACGATTATATTTTCATGATTTTGAATCAAGGTCTTGGTCTTTTTGAGAGTGAAAAACACTAAGTGCAAGCATTGGACTTGTTAATGTTTGGATGAAAAAATAAGTCCATACACATTAGACGCTAAACGAATGTTTTATTTTAAGATGTCAAATTATTTAGACAATACTAAGGTTAGTTACTTTTATTACTCAAAGCTTATATACACTTCTTTTTCTTTTTACAAAATCCTTTTGGACACATATATCTTACACAATATTCTCAAAAACCATTAGTATATCATAGATCAAAGTACTTTTTGTAACCATCAAAACCATGGTCAGCTAGATCTTACAAAAATGTTTTTGGTTTAGCAGACAATTTGCAGTATGTAAACCTCAATTTTGTTTTTGATCAAACTAATATTCAATTTTCCTATGTGTTAAAGAGGGTACATTTTCAATAATAAGAAGGGCTAAAGAGATATATGTTTTCTTTTATAAGGATTTTCTTTTGTTCATCAAGAACCTTTATCCACTATATGCATGCATATGTATTTATTTACATAAGGGGCGTATAAAGTATAAAGTTAGAACTAAAGTCAAAATGAAAATCAATTTCAATATTTATTTTTATACTTTATAGATGCATCATATTGCACTTAGAATTTATATGTAACTTCACATTTATCAAAACAAATCCCACACATGGACATGCATTTTTTATATATATTTAAAGTAGGCTAAATCATATTTTTAACTCTCTTTATTTATTTTTAAAATTTAATTTATTTCCATCATTTTTAAAAGATTCAATTTAATTATTTGATTTAAAAAAAATTCATTATTATCTTTCCATTTAAATTGATACTAACGATATTAATAAAATTAGATGAAAGGATAATATTGAATATTTATGAAAATTAAATGATCAATTTAAATATTTTAAAAATAGTGAAATTAAATTGAATAAAAATTTATCTAACAGTTTTTTGTCTAGATAAAATAAAATTTTCTTTTACTTTTTTTCACAAGATCATTTATTAAAACAAATTGAGTACTTGAAATTTAAAAAAAAATCACAAAATGAAGGAGTTATCTAATAAAAAAAATTATTAAATAGGTAAAATAAAATTCAAATTTATCGAGACAAAATATGTTAAATTATTTTGTTTAATTCAGTTCCACTATTTTTAAATAAATTAATTTGGTTCTCTAATTTTCAAAAGATGTTCAATATTGTCATTTCGTCCGATTTTATTCATGTCATTAGAGTCAATTTGGATGGGAGGATAATATTAATCATTTTAAAAAATTAGAGGATTAAAATGAATCATTTAACAATAATGAGCCTAAATTAAATTTTAAAAAATAAATATAGAGAACAAAAATATAATTTAGCCTTTAAAGTTGTATATGAAGCATATATAAGGGACCGAAATTAATGGTTAAATAGGCACTGGATCTAAGAGCAAAGCTTTAATAGATGTCTTCATTATTCCTCCAGAGTGCGTGAAGTTATCTTCATCTTTATAGAACACATCCATGAAACATGCAAGGTTGAAAGGACGTCTCAGAAAAGGCATTGGAACTTTGGTCGGCATAAGACACTCCTCGTTTATATCCTTCCAATTATCAATTATTCTATTTTGACATTCGTGAATGGCAGCTTCCCTAGACTCATCATATTGATTCATATAGCATTCCAAGAATGAGGAAACATGTCCTCTTTTTTGTTCAAACTATAAAACGAGAAATAACATAAAAATTAATATTTTCATGCTTTAATGGAACATATACATTGAAGAGAATGATTATTAAAATGAAAGACTATACCTCGTTGGACGCAATGTCATCCATTAGCCTCCCACCAATCGAAATAGCCCTAAGAAATTTTGGCTCATTTGTTGCCCATTTAAAGATGTCCTCAGTGACCATGTCTCCCATTCCAATGTAACTTGTTATTGTCATCAATGAGTAACCACATGATATTGCTGATACATGCAAGTACTCCTCTATTGTTGGTTTATAGTTGTTGTTGAACCATTTGGCCTCAGTCATGTAAGCTCGAACCGACTTTTTGTACTGCCAACAAAGATGCATTATAATAAATATATAGATTTTGAATTTGAAAGTATATCATGCAATATTTGTCATGTGCTTTGGGTAGAATTATAGTAGTTTTTAATGTAAGGAGTACTTTTTTATATTTAGTTTTAACAATATGTGCACTAAAAGGATGCCTTAGTTCACAAACTCTATATTTAATATATGAATTAGTCTAATTGCAAATCCTTAAGTTTGTCAACAAAAACCTTGAGTCTGTCAATAGAAACCACAAATTAATTTGATATACAAGCCTTGTAACTCAAGATATATGTTGATATTAATTAGGGAAAAAATGTGTACTTCTTCTATGCCGTAGTTGATGCAATAAGATTTTCCTTCCTTAATCATTTCTTGTTCTATTTCTTCATAAAGATTTATGAGTAACTTATAAGGTAATTTCATGGATTCCGGGAGATCATTCAAGCAACTAATATCCCACCTGAAAAATCAATTTCAATAAAATAATTACATAATTATAAAAATAGAAAGTGAAGAAAAATTGTGTTTTTATAATTTACTAATTAACCTTTCAATTGCTTCAGTCAAAAGTTCTAATTCGTCAATGGTCCCATATGCATCATATGTATCATCAATGATTAATGTTATGCCAAATACTTTCGAAAGTATTTTTCTTGCTTGAGAATATTGGGGCTCAAAATATACCCCTAAAACCCAAAAGCAACATTCCACAATTCTATCTCGCACATAGGGTAATTTACCAGAGACGTCCAACTCTTTCCACCACCTATATAATTAAAGACCAGAAACAATAGCAGCAATATTAGAAGAACTAGTCTTTGGAATTGATTTAACCTTGTTCGTTTAGCTATAGGAAAATTGCATGGATGAAAAACTTACTTGCAAATGTTGCCAAATTCTTTTTTATGTAGATTTTGCAATTTATTGAAATCTAATTTTGCCAAAGTAAGTAGAATTTCATTATGAGAAGGATCTTGCTCATAGATAGAAATGTAGCGTCGTGCCTCTAGCCTAGGCAGGTTTTTATGGAGAGCTTGCCTTAAGCTATGATTGACTTGAGCTGCAAGAGAAGGACTCAATGTGGTGGTAATGGACTTAAGGTGAGTGGAAGTGAAAGTTAGTGCTTCTTCCAAAATGTCCTCTCCATGAACCATCATATGTGAGGCTTCATACAAGCTTAACATTCCCTCAACATCACTCAAAAGTCTCTCATTAAAGTTTCCTTGTAGATTCTTGAACTTGTTGAACACAACTAGTGTTTTATTCAACAACCACAAAATTGAAAAATAGTTAGAGACAACATTTAAGAAAACTATATGAAAGATGTGAGATAACATTTAAGGTGCATCCCTTATTAATAATAATAAAAAAAAACTTTCATGCTTTATTCCTTATTGAATGTTTACTACTCTAATTATGACATTCAAAATTTAATCAAAGTGAGAAACGATGTAGATTGAAAGTAGGTGAGGACTTGAAAAATATTAAATAATATAATCCAAATATTTTTTTTTCTTATTATGAAAGTATATGTATGTCTATGACATGAAATCTTGTTTTTTCATTAGTGTGTGTAATTTATGTTGTAACTAAATAAAGTGATTTTCAAAGATGATTTTAAAAAAAATCAATTGAAGTAGATACTTAAGATGAGAAATATACTAGGTGAAACATGAAATCCGTGTTGCCTCAATAATCTAAATAACACAGCAACAGTGGAGAGGTTGGCTTCAATATTTATTTCTCCGTTTACAACATAATTCTTGTAAATTTGTTGCATAACTTCATCAATCTCATGCTCAAAGTGATAGTTCACACCCAAACGAGAGATTGAATCAATCAAGTCAACTTTTGTTAAGGGATTCTCAGTCTTTGAGACAAGCATCTTGCTCACTTCCTTTTTTAATGTTTCAATTTGTGTCTCAATATTATGGTCAAGCTCCTGCAGGCGTTGAAGAAACACTTAATTATATATTTAAGAAACATACTGAATTCAAAAGCAAATTATCCAAGCCACTCTTCAGTAAAATAGATGAGTTGTTGGGAACCACTACAACAATTAAGTTTAAATAGTTTCCTCACAAAACACTTAAGTTTAAATAGTTTCCTCACAAAACACTTATGAGTATAAAAAATATGAAGATAAAATAAAAAGAAATTATCCAATAACTTAAAAATGAACTTATCTGCATTAACATTTTAAATATTTCTTATTTAACCCTTTAAAAAATTCAAATTATAATAGGAATTTGATTTATTATTTTCACTAATTTTTTTTTCTCATATACATAACTTTTTATAAGTTTATCCAATCAGATCTCTTGTAAAAAAAAATTCTTTTTTTATTTTGATCAATCATGAAGTTAAATAATCTAATCAATAATGTTCAAACATAGATCACAAATATTATGCTGGAAATCACATGACAAAAAATTACATCCTAGCGGCAACAACAAGACTGTTGCTTATTGACATAAATATAACTGTTCTATGATTAATGACAACTTTGGTGATTGCTAACTTGTGAATTTCTTACATACATTCTTAATCAAATGTTTCTAATATAAATTTTCACCCATAGCATTTGATTAATGTGAACCCGCATATAGGAATGATTTAAAGTTTTCATGTGTGAAGTATATATACTTACTATATTTCATGTTCCTGTGGCTCACACAACTCAACTTATAAAATCTCATGTTTAAAATTATTCAATTAATTATTTATTTAAATCATTTTATTTTAACAATATATATTCTTCCTTTAAATAATACATAAATGTAGATTAATGTGAATTGTGAATTATATATACAAATTAAATATATATGTTTCTTCAAAATTTGATATGCATATATATTTGGCACTAAGATTCAAAAAATGATCAGTACAATACTAAAATTTATTAATTTAAAAAGAAATGTTAAATATATATAAAATGACATCTTAAGACTTAAATAAACAAATCTAAATCTCAAAGATACGATTAGAAGTGGAATATAAACGTACCTCGGAACTAGAAAGATACTGAATAAAATAATCCCCCCAAACAGAAGGATGAAAATCTGCAATTGGTCGAAAGTTTGAGGGTGGTTTTGCATCATGAGAGAAAACTGGTAGAGATGATGATACATTAGACATTGTTTACTTTCTATAATTGTACGTGACTGTTTGGGACAAAGTTAATATGACTTGATGGAACTTAGCATTGAAATGTTCAACATTTATAGGCAACGGAGGAGAAGACATAACAGTATTACTTACTTAGCACGCTAGCTTACATTAATGTTGGACTAAAATGAATTTAATAATATATGAAAAACCATTGGATCTATTTGTGGTGTAACCAAATTAAACAAAAAATAAACAATAAGATTCTTAAATACATAAACATTTTTCCATGCTAAATATTATTAAATATAATTATATGTTAAGAAATATTATTCTTATTATTGATTCATAAAGTTTACAAAATACTTTTTAAAATAGAAAAATTATATATATATATATATATATAATTAAAGATAAAAATAATTCATAATAGTTTATTTAATAGGATATTTAATTGTAGAAATAAATTATTGCACATATTTATTTTTACGGTTAAATATCCTATTAAATCAGCCCATTCTTAAACCAGAACAGCCCGTTCCCAACTAGGGTTACAAGCCTTTTTGGTGATTTGGAACACTCCGTTCCAGTTGGGAACGGCTCGTTCTCAACTAGGGTTTATAAGCCTTTTTAGTAGGTTGGAACGACCCGTTCTGGACTACTAAATCATCCTTATTGGGCTTTGGGCCTTCATATAATTTATGAAAATTGGGGTGTTACAATTTATGTTATTTAGTTTGAGAAGTTTAATTTTAATTCCTTTGTAATTTAATATTATGTTAAAATGTGATTCTTGTTACATGTATGATTTTGAGCTTATCTATTATATTTTAGGTTACTTAGTTATTCAATATATTATGTGTTATGATATGTGGGGTAGAGGGTGTCACAATGTTGGTGTTATATTTTGTTTTGATGGGACATGTGACATCCAGATATAACTAATACTAGATTAGAATTAGGCATGACAATCTAACCCGTCCCTGTGGGCACCCGCCCGAACCCGCCCCGATTTGGACGGGGAAAATCCGTGTTTATCGGGTTCGGGTTCGGGTTTTCGCGGGGACGGGGCGGGGAAACCCGAACCTCGCCGGGGGCGGGGATGGGGACCTAGATTTTACCCCCGGTGGGTATCGGGGGCGGTTTAAATTTGCGGGGGCGGGGAACGTAAAACCCGCCCCGCCCCGCCCCGTTGCCATGCCTAATTAGAATATTGTTTTGTTGAATTATTTTGAAAAATATTAATTTTATTTTCTTGTAAATTTCAATTGATTGTTACTTTGTTTACATAAGAATATAATATATTCTCCTTGAACACGTTTGATTTTATTTATAAAAAGTTACATTATTCAATTTTTATTATTTATATATTATGAGTCAATGACGTATAAAGTAGAGGCTGTCAAAGATATTGAATAAATATTTTTTTATCAAATAAGATATTATTTTAGAATATAAAACAGAAAATAAGTTGGTACTCTCCCCGATTTTCATTTATAATCAAATTAAGAAAGAAAAACTAATACAAACATCAATTTAACCTATGCCAATGAGGCTAGCCCACCTCCAATAATATCCCTATTTATTTCGTTTCCACTTAATGAGGGGCATAAGTGAAACTTGGTTTATGTTTAGATATTAATGTACTCTAGAATAAAATAAATTGAAATTTGATAATTAAATTAAAACTAAGAGTAATTATCTAAAGTATAGTGGAGGTTTTTCTTCTATTTACTTTTTCAGTTTTCACCTTTTTTTTCTTCAAATATTTATTACATTATATCTCATAATCCTATTTCTTTTTTGAGAGTATTTGTCTAAACTACTTAAACAAAATAAACAGTTTATACTTTTTTGAAAAGTAAATTTTGTACATATAAATGAGAATAACTATTTTTTGTACAAATATTTTTTTAAGAGTTTTCTTTAATAAGAGTATTTTTAAGCATTATTATTAAATGAGAGGATTTTTAGTTATTTTTAAATTCTTATCTATTTTAATTTATATTTATTTTAATTTTAATATTTTAAAATAAATTATCAATAATTAAAACTAATATCTATAATATATATAAAACAAATAACTTCTTCTCAATAAAATATCCCTTCAATAAATTTTCCTCCAATAATTTTTCCTAAATATTTATTCTCTCCAATATTTCTCCCCTAAATACATAAAAAAAACAAATACAATAAAAATAATTAAACTATTATCAATAAAAATTAAAAAAAAACAAATATATGAAAATAAAGGAGAAAATTTTGATAAAAATATTTTCATCTATACTAATCATTATTAGATTTCTACAATATTATAAAATAAATTGTTATCTATAATATATATAAGGGGGAATGACTTCTTCCCCCAAAGATTTCTTTCAATGATTTCCTTTTCGATAAACTTTTCTCCAATAATTTTGTTCTAAATATTTATTCACTCTAATGATTCTCTCTTGAATATTTAAAATAAAATACACAAAATAATTAATCTGCTACCAAAATAATAAAAAATATATATCAAAACAAATGTATCAAAATAAAGGGTAAATTTTGGATAAAAATATTTGAATCACTACCGATCATTATTAGATTTATGCAATATTATAAAATAAATTGTTATAAAAATAATTTTAAAAACTATATATCAAAACAAATACATCAAAATAGAAAAAAAAGGATAAAAATATTTAACAATTACTAATCATTATTAGATTTATGTAATATTATAAATAAATTACTACCAAAAATAATTTTAAGAAAGAAAATATATAAAAATAAAGGGTAAAAATCGGATAAAAATATTTTAATAATTACTAAATATTATAAAATAATTCAAAGAAATAGTTATAAATATTTTAATAATTGTTCGATATTTTGTATGAAAAATATTCGATTTTAGGAACATTATGGAATAATTCCTAATAATATTAAAGTTTCTAATTATTCCTAATTAATACTTAAAACTTTAATGAAAACCTTGATAAATCCTAATTAAGACTAATTAATTCGGGCAAAAAAAAAAGTCAAAAAACTTAAAAAAAAAATTACTTAATAAATATTCAATTTGATTTGTTTATCTAGGGTTTTGGAGAAAGACGAGTCTCCTAGCGATAATCCCTTACTCCGAAGCACTAAGAGGGTGAAAATGAGAGATAGTGGTGAAACAGCCTCCGAATTGGTAGATGCTTTTATGGAAGAGCCAGAGGAGATTCCAACAACGTGTAAAAACTCTTCTAAGTCTTATATGGAAAGCCTTCTTTCTCCTGACGGTGGGAAGATTTTCACCGATCTAAATAGTTTAATGAAGGAGATGGTGTGTCTAGAAGATGCAATCTATTATGATAAGGATGATTCAGTGGAGGATGAGGTAGAGCTAGATTCATGTCCTACTATTCCTGTCATGTAGGAAGAATTCGAAGAATGGTGCTCTCCCTGGAGGAACTCTCTGGTTATCAATGTGCTTGGGAAACGTGTGGCCTATAAAATGTTGGATAATAAAGTACAACGTGAATGGGCAAAATCTGGGATTGTCCGCCTAGTTGACCTGACCCAAGACTACTATCTTGTTCAGTTCTCCTCTGAAGATGATTATAAGCATGCATTATATGAAGGGCCGTGGATGATTGCAGACCACTACATTGTAGTACAAAGGTGGAGGCCATTCTTTACGCTCACGACATCACAAACCCGTAAAATTGCTGCATGGGTTCGCATTCCAGGTCTACCAATTGAGTTGTTCAATGATCGCTTTCTTTGGCGTGTAGGAAGCAAATTGGGCACAATGCTCAAGATTGATAAGCTGACTTCTGTCCAGACTCGTGGGAGATTTGCCAGGATATGTGTGGAGATTGATCTCAAGAAAAATTGGTACCGCATATAAATGTTCTAGGGCATATCCTTCACTTGGAATATGAAGGTCTTCACTCTATCTGCTTTCATTGTGGCAAATACGGTCATAAACAACATCATTGCTCTGCGTCCTTGGTGAATGATGATTCCCGTAACAAAGCGGCGAATAATCATGATGTGCCCATGGATGCTACGGCTGAAGATGATTTGATTAAGGTGGGAGAATCGATTCCTAGTAACGAACTACAAGATTCTAATCAAGTTTCGTTAAATCCGGGCTGCGCGGATTCGGTGGACCAATATGGACCTTGGATGATTGTGAAACGTAACAAGAAAAATGCAAGATATCGTACGCAAAATATGGGAAAGGATAAAATTAAAGAGTTGGGCCCCGCTAACCGAATTTCAAATCAGTATGATTATAATTTTGATGATGTGACTACTGCAGTGCACCAGTCTGAACCCCAAAAGGAGGGCCACGGCCTTACCAAGCAGAAAAGTTCAGTGGTAACAGTCCGTAACCCCTTAGCTAGGAAAAATCCACAAGTGCCACAAAGAAAGAACTATGCCCAAGGCAAGAACAAGGTTATAAGTGTCCCATCATCTAGTATAACAGATTCCACATATAAAGGTGGGGCCCAACATCTTCCTACCTCACCAAAACGTAATCCTGCATGGTTAAAGAGTCAGCATGCAGAACGTGAAGCGGAAAATACTGCTAAGGTAATCACGGGTCTAAAAAATGCAACACACTTGCAAGATGATTCCATGCAAAATGGAAATGCGTTAATTACGCAAGTTTATGCTCCAGACGCTGACACATTAGCATTCGCAAATGCAATGAGACAATACCTTGATCCGAGAGCATTTAACAAGGATAAGAGTAGTTTGAACAAGCAAGTTGGAATTGTTCCACATGAAGACTCAAGGGTTTCAAACCTAAATCCCCCTTTCGGTTCAGTATGAATATACTAAGTTGGAACTGTAGGGGGGCTGGATGTAAAGGCTTTGTACCTCTTGTGAATGATCTAATTCATGATAATAATGTGGGTATTTTGTTTTTGCTGGAAACACATGTTAGTGGTGCAAAAGCGCAACAAATAGCTCGAAAAATCCTTCGTGGTTGATGCGGTGGGACATGCAGGAGGTATTTGGTGCTTTTGGGACTCAACAAGGTGGGCGCTGGAGGTTCTTCATCACTCTAATCAGTTCGTCCATTTTGCGGTTTCTTGTGGCTCAATAACCTGGGAGTTGACGTTTGTTTACGCTAACCCTCATCCACAATTTCGTATAGGCCTCTGGCGAGAACTTAGTAGGATGGCAAAGAATATTCAAAAACCATGGTGCATTATAGGTGACTTCAATGCGGTGTTGAAAGATTCTGAACGCAAAGGAGGCTCATCCTCAGCCTGCTTCCAGGGTGATAATGCTTTTAAAGAATTTGTCCTTGAGTGTCACCTGTTGGATATGGGTTACCAGGGAGCACCTTTTACTTGGAAAAGATGATCAATTTTTGAGAGACTGGATCATGTTCTGGTTAGCTTGGCTTGGAAATTGGCTAACCCAAATGCAAACGTACTTCATTTGAACCCTCTAAAGTCTGACCACTGTCCCATTTTATTAAAATTCTCACAAGCACCAGTTAATAAAATTCGGAGACCTTTTCGATTTGAAGCCGCATGGTTAACCCACCCTGAATTCCCTTCCTTAGTAAGGGAGAGCTGGAATGAGCAAATGGATTGGTCAAGCAAGGTAAATAACACACAACGATGTTTGCTTGATTGGAATAAAACTACCTTTGGCAATATCTTTTCTGCCAAACGTCGGCTAGTTAGGAGGCTAAATGGAATTGCATCTCGTCTTCTTCAAGAGGATAACCCATTCCTTATAGATCTTCAAAAAGAATTATGGAGCCAATATGAACTGCTTCTTATAAGGGAATATTTTTTTTGGTTTCAGAAATCCCGGTGCAAATGGTTGGAATTTGGAGATCGAAATACTAGTTACTTTCATGGTACCACCGTTATTCGACGAAGGAAAAACAAGATTGTGAAACTACAAAATGAAGAGGGTGTTTGGATAGAGAACAAACAAGAACTAGAACATTTGGTGACTGACTTCTACAAAAACCTATTTCATGATTCTGGAAAGTATATTCCTTATTGTCTCACTTCCGCATTTCCTTCTCTCACAGCCCAAGAATTGGAGGATATTGCTCAACCTTTCTCGGACATGGAGATTCATGGTGCGTTAAAAAGAATGGGTGGACTTAAAGCCCCTGGGCCAGATGGGTTTCAAGCTATATTCTACCAATCCCAGTGGAATACAGTGGGTAAGTCTCTTTGCCGCTTTATACATGCCTGTGAACAAGAGCCAAGGAAGATATCTGAAATTAATGCTACCCTGATTACTCTCATCCCAAAAGTTGATAATGTAGTTTCTCTACAACAAATGTGGCCTATTAGTCTATGCAACGTCTCCTATAAAGTGATTACTAAAGTCCTTGCCTCTCGACTTAGGAAAATTATGGAAGGACTAGTAAGCCATAACCAGTGTAGCTTCGTTCCTCATCGTCAAACAACTGATAACATTATCATCACTCAAGAAGTGATTCACTCCATGAAACGTAGATCAGGAAAGAAAGGTTGGATGGCTATCAAAATTGACCTCGAGAAAGCCTATGATCGCCTCAAATGGAAATTTATTAAAGACACTTTGGAGGATATTGGTCTTCCCAAATAGTTCGTGGAGATGGTGTGGGCTTGCATCTCTACTCCTTCTATGAGCATGCTTTGGAATGGGGAAAAGCTGGAATATTTCACCCCATCCAGAGGTATAAGACAAGGGGACCCATTGTCACCTTACCTCTTTGTCCTTTGTATGGAGTGCCTATTTCACCTTATAGAAATTGCCGTGACTCACAAGCTTTGGAAGCCTATTAAGCTATCAAAGGGAGGGCCGCCTCTATCTTACCTCGCCTTCGCTGATGATCTGATCTTCTTCTCTGAGGCTTCTATGGATCAGGTTGAAATAATTCAACAATGCCTAGATATCTTTTGTGAAAGTTCAGGTCAGAAGGTTAGCCTTGAAAAGACTCATATTTTTTTCTCGAAGAATGTGGGTTGGGTGGTTAAGAATGAGATTAGAAATGCCTTTGGTTTCCAGCGTACTGATAACCTCGGTAAGTATCTAGGAGTAAATATCCATCATGACAAAGTTAATCGTCATCTGCTAAGGTCTGTAAAGGAGAAGGTGAACCAAAGGCTTAATTCATGGAAGGCAAGAAATTTATCCTTTGCCGGTCGTTTGACACTCAAAAAGCCCGTCCTAGCGGCAATCCCATCCTACACTATGCAAACTGTGTTTTTCCCCCTACAGCTTTGTGATGAAATTGACAGGTCTTGTAGATCCTTCATTTAGGGGCATACTAGTGATCAGAGAAAAGTTCATGCTGTATCTTGGCAAAAAATCTGCAAGCCAAAAGATGAAGGAGGTCTTGGAATGAGAGAGATGAGACTTGTTAATAAATGTTTTATGATGAAGAATTGTTGGACAATATGCTCGCAACCTTCTAAATTGTGGGTCCAAGTCTTGAGAGATAAATATAAATGTGGGAATGCTTATGTTTTAAATATTGAGAAGAAATCAAGTGCATCAAATGCTTGGAAGGGTATCTGTGACGCTTGGTCATTTGTTCAACCTTTTATCGCATGGAATGTTGGAGATGGAACACAAGTGCAGTTTTGGAAGGATTGTTGGCTTCCTTCCCGAACGCGTCTATTAGAGGTGGCCTTAGAACCAGTCCCAGAGCATGAAAAAGGTAAATTCATATCTGAATATATCACCGAGGAAGGTTTATGGAATCTGAACAATATATTCGTTTTCTACTTCCCACGTCAGCCTGGTTTGAGGTGTTAGGATCTGCTCCACCCTTGATAGAGGTTGACCACGACGTTATGGTGTGGGGTGGGTCCCCAACAGGAGCTTTTTCTATAAAATCGGCTTACAATACAATTCGTACTGCTTCCAATGAATCCCGTAGTTTGTTTAAATTAATTTGGAAGTGGCGCGGCCCAGAACAAGTGAAGTGTTTACTTTGGCGAGTGGCTCATGATAGTCTGGTTACAAATGATTGGCGTAGTAGGAAGGGCCTAACAAATGAACCTTATTGCCCTATTTGCAAAAGAGAAAGGGAAATGATTCTGCATGTGTTACGTGATTGTCTCTTTGCAAAATCTATTTGGCTATCCTTATACCGTGGGGCCCTTGGAATTGATTTCTTTTCAAATGCGACCCTTGATTGGTTGGAGAGCAATTTATCAAAAGGAGACAAAGCATGGGCTGTCATTTTTGCACTTTCTATAGACTCTATTTGGAAGGCTCGAAACTCCTTTATTTTTCAACAGACTCAGCTCAACACTAATTTGGTGCTGGGAGAGATCCATGGGAGAAGTCGTGAGATAACTAATTACATATGTCATGAAGCTACTCGTAGAGAAATTCCTCCTCCATCAACCTTGAACATCGGGTAGAAAGCTCCTCCTCAAGGACTTCTAAAGCTGAATTGTGACGGAGCTGTTGCATCATCATCCCTTGCTTCCTGTGGTGGGGTGCTTCATGATAGTTGGGGTAACTTCATTTTAGGCTTTTCGTGTCTAATTAGGCATTGTTCTATTATACATGCTAAATTATGGGCCATGCTCTATGGGTTGAAAATTCTCAAAGAACGAAATTTTAGTGATCAGATCATTATTGAGTCTGACTCAATAATTGCAATTCAGTTCTTAAATGAAGGGTGTCCTAGAACTCACTCTTGCTATGGGCTTGTCAATCAAGTTGTTAAGGCGGCTGGTGATTTCAACAATATTGAATGTACTCACACCTTAAGGGAGGCAAATTAGGTAGCAGATTGTTTTGCCAAAAAAGGGCTCTCCTTGTCAGCAGGTGTTCATGTTTTTGACTCTGGCCCGAATTGGTCTATTTCTTTTTTATTAGCAGATGAGTCTGCTTTAACCTTCCCTCGTGGATTCT